TCAGCCTTCCATCCTTCCGAGGTGGGTAAAATGAGGACCCGGATTGTTGTTGGGGGCAATATGCGGACTCTGTAAACTGCTTAGAGAGGGCTGAAAGTCCTATGAAGCGGTATATAAGTCTAACTGCTATTGCTATTGCAGGATGCTGCAAACCACCATCAATGTGGGCCAGTTCAGTTGCTAAGTGCTCGAATGGTAAACATTAACCATGGAGACAGCAGCCCTTCAAACTGGGTCATCTAAGTACATTTTGGGGGGGTTTCAGATCACACAGAGCCCTACCCAAGGCCAGTGCTGGTAGCGCATGGAGTCCCAAAACTGCTTTTTTCGGGAGGCCACTGGACTTCCTTGCTTTTTCTTTGAAGATGTTTCGCTTCCCATCCCAGAAGCTTCTCCATCTCTGAGTGGAAGATGAAAAATGGAAGGATTCCACTCAGAGCTGAAGAAGCTTCTTGGATGAGAAGCGAAACATCTTCAAAGGAAAAAAACAACAACCAGAAAGTCCAGTTTTCTCCTCTTGAAAAAAAGCACCTTTAGGAGGGCCTGGAGGACGGAGACTGTCCATTAACCATCAGCTCACAGAGTTTCAAGAGTTTTATTTCCTGCCTTGCTGGCCTTAAAACCTCCAGCATCCTTCAGCGTTCAAAATCCAGAATTTCCACCTTAGTTTGCCTTTTCCTAGTGATGCACTGCTGCCCTCCTATGCTCATTCCAATTAATGCTGCCATTGACCGGTTCCAGTTTACGACGGCCTGTCAGCAGAGCGACACAACAAGAGCTCACAGTCGCGTCAAACTTGGCTACTAAAGAGATTTTTGGGGTCAATAGGATCTTCCCTGAAATTAATAAACGTAATTGGTTATCCTCCACTTTCTCTTCTCCTAAACCCCACAAGGATATATGAAGATGGGTAATGCTCAAGGCACCATATTCATTTAGTGACCGTCCGAAGTTACAGCAGCCCTGAAATAAGTGACTTCCGACCGTTGTTCAAACTTACGACCTTTGCAGCATCACAAGGATCAAAATTCAGACACTTAGCAACCGACTCACCTTTATGACAGTCACAGGTTCCCCGGGCTCATGTTAATCCCCTTTTGTGATGATCTGACCAGCAAAGTCAGTTGGAGGAGCTGAAGTGGCGCAGTGGTTAGGGTGCAGTACTGCAGGCCACTTCAGCTGACTGTGATCTGCAGNTAGAATATAGAATATAGAATATAGAATATAGAATATAGAATATAGAATATAGAATATAGAATAGAAAAGAATATAGAATAGAAAAGAATAGAAAAGAATATAGAATAGAATAGAATAGAATACAGAATAGAATAGAATAGAACAGAACAGACTGAAATACAATAGAATGACTTTCTGCTAAGCCAACTTATAATAAAAGAATGATAAGAATGACAGAGTTGAAAGGGACCCTGGAGGTCTTCTAGTCCAACCCCCTGCTTAGGCAGGAAACCCTACACCACTTCTGTTAGATATTAGCAACTGTTATAATGGTTTCCACCAAGGTCCTCTGTTCCAGCGGGAACCTTACCTTTCCATTACCCAATTAGCTTTCCATTACCCAATCTAACAACTGCAGACAAATGGATATCCAACCTCTTCTTAAAAACCTCATAGCATCTGGAGGCAAGTTGTTCCACTGATTAATTGTTCTCACTGTCAGGAAATTCCTCCTTAGTTCTAGGTTGCTTCTCTCCTTGATTAGTTCCCACCCATTGCTCCTTCTCCTGCCCTCGGGTGATTCTCATCCAAGAAGCTTCTTCTCTTCAGTTCAGTTCTCTTTGTTGAGAACTGAAGAAGCTTCTAGCATGAGAAGCGAAAAGTTTCCAAAGGGGGGGAGGGGGGGGACTCAAGGAAGTCCAGTTGTCTTTTGGAAAAAGCACTTTGGGGATAACCGTGACCTGGATGATGGAGAATCTCCACAGACAAACGTGGAGGCTGTTGGGAGCTGTAGTTCATCCATAGTGGGAGGTGACCCCGGCACCGAGATACCATCTTAATTTTTCTGGATTCCTCTGCTGATCTCCCTGGTTTCAACAATATCTAGAGCCGCGATGGCGATCCTACGGCATGCCCAAAGTGGCACACAGAGCCATGTCAGCTGGCACAGGCAGCGTCACCCATTTCTCTTCCGTGTTTCTGGTGTGCATGCACGCGCGATGATCAGCTGACCTTCGCACGTGCGGTAGTGCCGGAAACTAGAAGAGCTGGTCTTCTGGTTTCTGTTGTGCTCATGCGCGCTGGCCGGCTGATTCATCATGTGCGCATGCGCGCCAGACATTAGCCAGATTAACCAGAAGTTAATTTCACGGCGTGCACATGTCCAGCTTCTCTTCCAGGTTGCGCGAGTGGGCACAAACCGCACACTCCCTTTTTGGCACTCGGTTCGCCACCAAAGATATGAAGTTTCTTGGCTCTGAAGCAGATACACAATTTTCAGAAAAGGAATTTCTTTTCCTGCCCCGATCCACCAAATTTTCCAGTCCAAACTAACACACAATTAGATAACAATATTTCCGATGAGGCTAAATCCATCTGTAAACTGAAAATAAAAAAAAATAGTTGGCTTAATGCACGGGTTAAAGACCGGGCTCGATAACCTTCCCAGATTTCATTAAAACGGCATAATCTTGATGTTGATGTCAAATTCGATGCACTTTCGGTCGCTCGGCCGCCACGTTTTGAAGCTGAGGCGTCCGAGGTAATCTGGGAGTTGCTTGACGGAAGAGAGTAAACGTTGCATATTTTATCCACCGTGAGGAAATGTTCAGATCTTTCTCCCTCGGGGAACCAAATCCTAAACCTGTCGCCTTCTAGCATTTTGGAAATACTCTGAAATGACCCTGAAGCCAGAGTTGAAGACGTTTTTCACGACTAGAATATGGCAACAATGTCCGCCACACGCCGCGTGTTTTTCTATCGCCTCAGGAGAAAATAAAATAAAATCCCTAACACCCCCCCCCACCCCCAAAACAGTAATAAATTAAATCTTATTAAAACAGATATAAAAGTTCTTCAAGTGTAAGAATTTATCATGCAAACGAGCAGGGCGGTTTGGGCCGAGAAACGAGACGTTGTGGCGTGTCCGTTCACCGCATCCAACATTATTTTCGGCCAACGAAATGGGGCGAAAAACCCGAGAGGACGATGGTTTGAGGTACCACTGAAACATCGGGATGGGATCGGGTCTACGAAGACACCGGAGGCTCTGGGTGAAGTTAGGCTTCAAGGATTTGTCAAGCGGAACAATCTCGTTTTGTAAAATGATTTGTCATCTGCAAATTTGAAAGAACCTGAAAGGATCTGGGTGGATTACCAAAGTCCGAATAATGTCCATGCTACCCAGGAAACGTGATTTTTTTTTTTACTGTAATGGAGACATTTTGATTACTTCTCGTAATATATTTCACAGCCTTTTTAGACTCGCAAAAGAGTGGTGCGGTGGCTTAGAGGTGGCGCTCTCGTCTCACCATCGGGAGGCTGTGAGTTCAATCCTAGGTAGAGGCAGATATTTCTCTTCTCTGGGCACAATGAGAATATATGTGCTGGACAAAACTCCGTTTTGGCAACAGGAGGGGCATCTGGCCAGTAAACATTCAGCTCAATTCAGTTGTCCAGACTCCGCCTGGCAAGGGATTATGGGGTAAATGACCCCATAAAACCTTTAGACCCACAAAACCTTTTGGATACTCGTTCATCAAACCTCGCCCCGATCAGAATTAATGCTCTTCTCACAACCTGCCGTTTACTCGCCCGGGAGGAACCCGCGTCCTTCTATGCCTTTGTGTAAATAGCAGTTCCTCGATGGAGCCGCCGACACAGCTACAGTTCCGGTAACGGTGGGCTTCTGCCAAATTCTTTAATTCCCTGAAGAATTCGCTTCATATGACCCACTTTCGTTATCCCCAAATCCTACAAGGGAAAAGACAGATTCATTCACAGAAATGCAGGTTAGCAGAACATCATTTAACTTTAAAGCTCGTTTAGAGAGCGTCCATTGTAGACAATTAGTCAATCCTCCCCCCCCCCACACACACACACATATCAACTTATTTAGACAGAGTGGTGCGGTGCCCCTAGAGGTGGAGCTGTCACCTCACAAGCAGGAGTTTGCAAGTTCGATCCTAGGTAGAGGCAGGTATTTCTCTCTCTGGGCACAATGAGAAAATGTATCCGCTGAACAAAACTCCGCATTGGCGACAGGAAGACCATCTGGCCATTAAAACACTCTGCTAGGGCCATTCAGTTGCCGAGACTCCACCTCGCAAGGGATTATGGGGTCATTAAATCATGAAAATATCAACTTATATTAGACACTGAATTGTGTTTCCGAGGAAAAGTTTTGTAAAAGAAGTGGTGCTGTCTATTTTCTCCCCTGCATTCTGTATTTCTTAGATTTTAGACATACATTCTTGATTTGTCTCCCTGGAATGTGGAATGACACCAGATTAAGTTTTACTAGTGTCCACATTTCTTTCTTGAACGGCATTATGGAAGTTACCGTTTTGCCGTAGCATCTTCAAGTATCCAGCAAGGAAGGCAACTAAAATAACCAGCAACAATCTTAAATAACAGAGGAAGCATTAGGAAATCTAGCAGAACAAAATAGACAAATAAACAAAATCGGAAAATCACGTATAAATCAGAGGCAGGTTACTATTGGTTAGGGCGAACCAGTAGTGATATTTTGGCCTCGGTTGCCGAACCGGCAGGAACCCAGGCTGGCCACGCCCCCAAGCCGGTTCCCAAATCACCACTGCCATTAGGTTTTGAGTAGCTTTTTCATGTTCTGCGCATGCACAGAACAATTTGCAGTCAACTGTGCACCCACACAGCATGCGTCTGAGGCATGTGCAAAGCGCATGTGAAGCGAACCAGGAGCAACGCCGTATCAGCAACCCATTCTGGTATAAATATTGATTTTAGATCACAGAGAAAACCTCTTGTGCATGGTGTTGTCATACAACAAAGAGGTTTTTGTTCTATTTTTAAAGAAATATGGTTGGAGGCACAACTTTGTAGGATTTCAAGTTCAGAAATCAGGAACGATCTGTAAAAACTCCAGACTGGTGTGAAACAGTTGAGGAAAGCAGAAATACATTTCTTTTAAAACAAAACAGGTGATTGCATCTTGATATCCCTCTAAAAGTTTACAATGCGGTCTTCAATTTATGACTGTAAGGGACCGGGTTCATTATGCAATCATTACGTTGTGACATTTGTCATACTTTTAATGGCCTTTTTATTGCGGCGGTCCTTAAGTGAATCTGCCGTTGTTAAGAGAACGCTGTGGTCATCACACGATCTCATTGTTTGCTGGGGGGGGGCTGTATTTTGCTAGAAATACAGAAGCAATGCCAGCTTTCTGCAAAAATATTACACAGGCGGTCGTCAACATACGACCACAATTGAGAATTTTCTGTTGCTAAGCGAGACAGTCATTAAGTGAGTTTTCCCCATTTTACATCCTTTCTTGTCACAGATGTGAAGTGAGTCACTGCAGTTGTTAAATTAGCGACACGGTCGTTAAGTAAATCTGGCCTCCCCATCGACTTTGCCCGTCAGAAGGTTGCAAAAGGGGAAATCCCGTGAACCTGGGGGCGCTGCAACCGTCATTAAGTGCATGCCAGTTGCCAAGCCAAGTGACTCTGGGGATGCTGCAACGGTCGTCAGTGTGAAAAACGGTCGTAAGTCACATTCTTGCAGTGCCATTGCAACTTTGAAAGGTGACTAAATGAACTGTAAGTCGAGAACTTATCTGTAAACCCCAGTGGCCCCATCTGCACCCCATGAGCCGAGGTGGCGCAGTGGTTAGGGTGCAGCACTGCAGGCTACTTCAGCTGACTGCATTTCTGCAGTTCAGCTGTTCAAATCTCACCGGTTCAGGGTTGACTCAGCCTTCCATCCTTCCGAGGTGGGTAAAATGAGGACCCGGATTGTTGTTGNTTGGTTCAAGTGCATTAATGTCTTCTGAATTAACTATCCCTTTCTCAATTTTTTTAGGCTGAACAAGACCTGATTTTGGAGAAGCGTCTTGAGCAGAAAGACCAGCGTTATGGTTCTTAATTGATGGGTCTTCTCTCTGTTCTGATGCCTTAATATTTGACTTTAGAAGAGAAGATGTATGAGAAGTGCCTGTCTGATCTCCTTGAGATTTACCTATGTCTTCCTGAGGTCTGTTGGATCCAATAGCACCTGGCTGGGAATCTTTGTGACCAATGGATGATTTCGCTGTTTCCATCGTTTTATCAGAACCTTGCTGGGGTGGCTCTTGCTGGCTATTTTTTATATTACTTTGTACAACTTGAAGTGGTTCTGGCTCTGAAGCACCTTGATTCAAGTTCGTTAAGGGTAGGTGATCACTGGACAACTCTACAATGTGGAAAACCTAAAGTTAAAAAGTATTCTGTATGCTATAATAATACTGTGTGGTGGTGTACAGTAATGCAAACTACAAAATAATGCTGAATATATTCACCCTTTTTAAGTACAACCTTTTAGGTATTTGTATAACCTAGTGCTGTGGCCTTGGGCCAGAGACAGCTAACATAAACCAGACAGCGGTCTGTCTAGAACAGGGGTCTCCAACCTTGGTAACTTTAAGCCTGGCGGACTTCAAGTCCCAGAAGTCCGCTGGGCTTAAAGTTGCCAAGGTTGGAGGCCCCTGTTCAAGAAAGTAAGAATAGAATGGTGTAATAGGAGATTGCAATATAAATCCTGTAGTATATTGGACATGTTGACAATCTCACACTGCAAGGGTGAAATATAATAAGGAGGTCATTTCAATGGGTATCATGGTGGTCCAGAGGAAGAATTACAGTGTAATTCTATCATTCCTTTTACAGATAGTTGTCAACTTACAACAGTTCACTTAGTCACGGTCAAAGTTATGTCAATGAAAAAAGCGACTTATAATTTTCACAATTACAGCCATCCCCATGGTTACATGATCAAAATTCACAGCTGGCAACTGACTCATATTTAGGACAGTTGCAATATCCAACCTTTTGAGACCTTCTGACAAGCAAAGTCAATGGGGAAACCAGATTCATTTAAGAACCATGTTACAAATATAATAATTGCAGTGATTTGCTTAACAACTGTGGCAAGAAAAGTTATAAAAAGGCAGCAAAACTCACTAACAAATGTCTTACTTAACATAAATTTGGGATTCAATTGTAGTCATGCGTCTAGGATTACCTTTACCTTTCTACTTCAAATGTAATTGGCCAAATGTATATAATTGGAGGGAACATTTTGCTGGGGGCTCTCCCCTCCCTGCTATCTGCTGGTAGGGAATCCAGTCATCAGTGTTAGTGCTTTCCTATAAAATTGCACCTATCTCCAATGCTTTGGTTTCTAAAGTGAGAGAGCAACTTTCTCACAACTGCCCAAAACATTTTCATACTGAACTTTCATTAATAGTGCAATGTGAGTTGTACACATTCATGCCACATTTAATTCACATCCCGCCTTTATAATTTTTTTTAAGCAACTCAAGGGAGAGAGCATATTTCATATTCCTTCCTCCTATTTTTCCTACAATAATCCTGTGAGGTGAGCTGGGCTGACATCACAGCAAGATCGCATTATTTCGAGTGGCTGTGTGGCCATTTCCAATCTCTATGTTTTATTATACATTTGCATGCTTGACTTAATAAGGCAAGAAAGGCAATCACATATTGAAATTAAGCTATTATATATGTTGTATTTTGACAACGCTGGGAGTGAACCCTGGCAATTTCGGCACATGGTGGGCTAGCTGGCTGGAGGATTCTGGGAGTTGAAGTCCACAAGTCTTAAAGTTGCCAAGTTTGAAGACCTCTGGTATAGTCCTTCAAAGAAGGCGGACCGTACAGACCATCCTGATAGCTTCAATCACTTTGGAACGAGCATGTGATGATTTCCCTTCCGTTAGCCCTCCATCCTCCTAGCCGCCATAGCGAAGCTATGAGCCCAAGGTCCGCGGGCAGGACGGGGAGTGGGGGTGTAAAGCAAAGGCCTTCTCCTTCTCCCCCTCAAGAGCCCCCACTGACCTTGAGCATTCGTCCCCGGGCTCTTTCCCGCGCCTAACGGCGCCGCGCTGCCCCAGGCAGCCAGCCAACACAGGAGGAGACACCAGGACCAACACGCCGCCATGCCGCCTCAGGATCGCTTTCTACTTCCGCCCAGTTGCCAGCGGAAAAGGAAATCCGCTTTCCACGGCTCTCGCAGCGCCCATTTCCGGCTGGGGCTCCTTCTCTCTCCCCTCCCCGCGATGCTGTTCTCGCGAGAGCTGAACTTCTCGGGAAGGCGAGAGGAGGGGCGGAAATCTTCTGAAGGGCGTGGCTTACGATCCCAGGGAGGAGGGGCTGGAGCTTGCCGCTGGAAGGGAAGCTCCTGCTTGAACCTCATTTGGGTGAATATACACCGCCGGCTTTAGGCAGCTCCGCAATTCTTTTTCTTCTTCTAATTGAGAGTTAATGTGGACCACTCCAACTTGGCATTTTCCAGACGTGTGGATCCGAAATCCCAGAATTCCCTATCCACACATCTGAAAACTCCCCACTTTGAGAAACACTGGTGTAGATTAAACCCTCCCAACTCCACGTCTGAATTGTAAACCGGGAAACCCTGGAAAGCTTGAAGGTAGTAAGTAGCCTCTTGCCTGCATTGCAGAGCGAAAGATCTGCTTGCTGGATTGATGGCTGATTCCACCGCCCACCCTCGTTCTCTGCCCGGCCACCTTTCCTTTTCGGTATTCACGCAATTGCATTTCTGGCTGTGTTCTTTTTCATTGTTTATTTCATTGCTCTATTATCTTCCTTTCACACTCTTTTCATTTCTTCCTTTTTATTCTTATAAGCCGCTTAGAGTAGCTCTGTGGTGAGAGAGGAGCAAATACCTTTAAGAAATAAGAGATTGAAAGTAAA